TTTAATGTCACATTTAAGTTGTATGCATAGTGTTTAACTGTTAGATTTGTTTTTTTAACTAGCGTTCGTTTTGGTTTAGCACTGTAAGTATACTGTGTAGTAAATAAATAAATAACCCCATCTGAAGGGCCAACAGTTTCTGCTTACGTTTGGGATTTCTTTGAATCCAACAGCAGTGATAAGAACTGTGAAGGCGCAACTTCACTGCTGGAGTCCTAACAGACCGAGGGCGACCATTTCTTGACCTGTCATCTACACTAGAGTCTTCATTGTATCGTCTGATGGTACGATAAACGAATCTTTTGGTTATATTAAAAATTTTCAGTATGTCAAAAATTTGAATTAGCGCGTAACCGCAACGATGCAACGCAATAACTGCAACACGGTCTTCTTTAAGCGTCCACTCCATATTTAAAAATGTGTAAAATTCTAAAAAGTATACATTTTTATTTTCATGAACAATTCGAATTTAATAATCTTTTTGTGGCCAGTATTCTAAAAGAAAAGTTTTTACTGTATGACAATACTTATGACCTGACTATGTATATAGGCAGGATCTATTAGGCCCTCGGGCGGCTCGCCGCTTGCCGAATGCACCACGCAATTACCGGCGTCGCGAGGGTTTGTTAACAGCAAACCAACGTGGCGTTAGTCATTGTTGTGGATATAATACATTATTACTCCCCGTCATCGAAAAAAAAAGGTCTTTACTTATGGAATTGTCGTTTTTCATGAAGTGAGTTAACGTCCTTTTTTCTGTATTATTTATTTCTATTAATCAAAGTAATTACGCATAAAATCCATTTTTCGTCGCAAGTAACAATGTGCTGCAATATCGTTTGTATGCCTGTTGAACAGTGCAAGGCTCGACTCGACGCGTACTTCGCGCTGGCGATCATTCAATTCGTGGGGCACACATTTATCAAGCTTTTTTACCTTGCCAATTTGACGCAAATGGACCGATCTTGTTTTGATGCTAACATCGGCAGCTGCTGCTAATTCAGCTGTAGATTGAGAATCATCAGCTTGCACGATCGCCTTTAATTCGTCTTTGTAGACTAAAGTTTCGCTTGACCACGCGGTTCACTTCTTAGATCAAAATTTCCAGAACGGAAGCGGGCAAACCAATAATGGGTGGTGCGATCGCTAGTAGTATTCGCTCCGTATCCTTTGTTGATGTTGTATGCCACTTCTGCCGCTTTGCTGCCACGACGGTACTCATACATAATCCATAATCACTCTTATAATTAACGTGGATACGTGTTGACAAAAAACGAACAAAAGCGGTAAAAGCACACGATATATAAACACTAAACAAATGCCTAATTTTCAAAAAAGAATTCCCTCTTTTTTATAAAAATAATTATAACTTACAATTCTTAGCGCAATAGCAAAAAAATACCTAAAATAGCCAGTACTGCAGAGCGGCAATTTCGTAGATAAAGACCTATTATTTTTAGTAAAATGATGTAATGAACTACTTAAAAAAAGACTCCAACCATTATATCAGTAGGTACGAGCTTTTTGAAATTCACTGCTGAATACAGTCCTCCCAATTAATGCCTCCTGCTGCTCAAAGCCGTTAGCATATAAAGGTAAATCAACAAAGACCCAATATTCTGCTCTTGTTACTCAATTTACATGTATGAAATTCAACATTTATTTTACGTATACAATATACGTAAAATAAATGTTGAATCATCATTATCACAGGCAGTGGCGGTGCAAGACCTAAATTTGATGTGGGCAAGACAGATTTCGCGAGGCCCTGTTCTGTGGCGACCTGAAGACGGATTTAATAAAATAAGAAAAAAGAAATTCGCTTCTAAGCAATGCATAAATATTTTTGAGGCGCGAAGCCCCTTGTACCGCGAGGCCGTAGGCGGTGGCCCACGTCGCCCACGCCTTAAGCCGCCTCTGATCACAGGCTACAGGGGTACAGGCTGTCCCTATCGATGGGATTGATGAGTGCTATTGACTGCGGATGCAGCCGAGACCAATGATTTAACGTGCCTTCCGAAGCAGCGGAGGAGCTCTAAATAATAAGTTTTTGTTCACACCCACCATGTGGGTTACCTACAATGCGAAGAGACGCGGCTAATAGGGGCGTGGTAGCATAATGGTCAGTGCATTCGCCCGGATAGCGAAGGCTGCGGGTTCGAGTCCCATCCGCTGCCTGGTCCGCGTGGATTTTTTTCTAGTAAACTTTTCTTTAGACTTGACAGAGTTGATTTTTTTCTAGAAAAAGTCTTAACATATATATATATATATATATATATATATATATATATATATATATATATATATATATATATAAATTACGCGTCACGTTGTTTGTCCTGGATGGATTCCTAAACTACCTAACCAATTTTAATCAAATTTGCACACCGCGTGCCATTAAATCCAACTTGAAAGATACGCTAGCTTACATCTCACTTTATAGTAGCAAAATTAATTTTATTACAAATTATTACTTTTGGAGGGTACAAAGTTCGCCGAGTCAGCTAGTATTTTATAGATTAACAAGCTGCCATAAAAATAGGGACTGGTGGTAGAAGGATGGAAATTTAGTGTATGTTGTATGTATTTTTAATGCCAATTTATATAAAATAAAAGTTTTCCAAAAAAATGTTAGGGATGTGTTACTTAGTGTTCTATCAAATACCTGGGATAACATTCCTCCTAAACCATATGAGAACACTACGTTACAATATCCACTAGTTTGTATTTTGGCGCGAAGGCGCATTATAGGTTTTAGAACACTACGTTTAAGGTGTACTACCCTTATCATTTACGTGTATGAAAAATATATAGTAGCCGATTCTCATTCTTACAGAATATGCATATAAAATTTCATAAAAATCGGTCAAGCCGTTTCGGAGGAAAATGGCAACTAACATTGTGACACGATTCGTTGTGGGTCTCTAAGTTTACCCTTGCAGATTTTACATGATTTCATCACACAAGACGGCATATTTTAAAAAAAATGTAGGAGCAATTGAACGTGTCACTGCCGCTATCACGCGGAGTCAAATGGCAATGGTTTTTCCGACCTGGTACACGTGTGAGTGTAGTGTACAACACAGACCTGAAAAAACAGTACCGTGGTGTACAACAAACGAAATTGTAGGACCTTGCATGCTTCACATCATTTTAGTTTGATATTACGTCCGTCTTTTTTTCAGGTGCGTGGCTTTAGTATCATCAAATCTCCTTAATGTTCATTGTGTAAAAGTAGATGTGATCCTTTACCTTTAGAAGTTTCGGAATCGAAGGGAGACAGCATTAAATAATAATGGAAACGGTGCGTAGTGTTTAATTGCTTTTTTTGAATGTTATTTATTTTTACTTAGAATAAAAACGCATAGTAACTTCGCTAGTAGAAAAATACAGTTGGTCTGCCGATAGTTCCTTTTTTGGTCACGGTAAGCGCTGCGATCGATCCGTGTCTGGTTCTCCCACCTCATACTTTTCACAGCTATAAGGTATATTTTGTTCCTATTTTATCGTCAGGCCATCTACCGGAGCTTGTTTGAATTTCGGCGCAAGTGGAAGCACGTTAAAGTGTGAATAAAATTCTGCTTTTCACTGTGCCTTATCAGAAAGAACCAAGGTTTTCGGTTTTTACTTTTGATTAATTCTGCCAGATGTCGCTGTATTGAATAAAAGTCCTTGCAAACAGTAGTTTTTATTTTATTGTTTAGTCTAGTTTTATTATATTTGCGTTGTTTTCTATACAGCCAATATGGACCCTAAAGAGTTCTTAAGCTTTTTTCTACTTTAGTTGTGATTCATTTCAATAACTGGGAAATAGGTATTTTATGATTATTACATAAGAATAAAGTCGGAGGCCTACCAAGTTTATCACGTGTAGTCCATGTGCAGTAAATTTGATTGACTTTAAATGGATAAAGTTACCGTTTACAATGATTAATAAAAATCAGGCTATTATCACAAAATTATTAATACATGAAATAACATAAAATGCAAAACCCTTAAATATTGACGTGATGTGCAATAACAGTTGCTGATTTCTTATAAGGAAACTGCATTATAATATGGATCAAAGATCTTTGAAATTGGACTTTTGTTTTTCATTAAAGTACACACGCGGTTTATCTTTATATATATAATTCTTCTGTGAGTGTGTATGTCACTGAACTTCTCTTAAACGACTGGACCGATTTTGATGAAATTTTTTGTGTGTGTTCAAGGGGATCTGAGAATGGTTTAGATTCACAATTTTGTCCGCTGGACAATGTTTTTTTAATTTTTTTTTTTATGGCGGTACTTAGTTCGCTGGGTCAGCTAGTGTCTTATATAAAAATGGAATTGCAGTTTGAAATTAGAAATAAAATCGTAGTTATAAAATAAACTCTTGCGATTTCTTGATTAAAAAAATAATAAATTAATTATAATTTCCTAAGTCTATAGGCAAACCTCCTATAGACTTAGGAAATTATAATTACTTAATTAGACGTTACTTAATGTAACGTCAAAACTAAGTCACATAGGATGGCGTCAAAATCTATTCTGAAAATAACAAGTTTGTTTCCAGCGATGCATACATTTAGCGAAAGTCAACCTTATTGTTTTGCAATGGTTGTAAATAAATACAGTAAAAAAGTAAGCTTATGGTGGGTCGGGGAACAAATTGGCTGATAGTACTTTTCCGTTTCATAATAGGTAATTGGAACAGTTTACGTTGAATAGAGCCCAGGTTCTGTTAAAGTGTGATATTTTGTTCATTGAATTTTATTCAGAGAAATTGAGTATATTATAGGTTTAGAACATATATATATTTAGTATTTTAATAATTTTGATAAAACCTAATTTTAATGAAGAGAACGGCAAAAGTGTAAGTCAACCAGTATTTGTTTTAATATAACTTTTTCTTGCCTTTTCGTTTTAGTCAGAAATTCTGCCAATATCTCGTAGTGAGAGAGGCATGCTCGGGATTTTTGTGTATAAAATAAAGTAGAAATCCTTTACTTCTTCCTTGAACATTTGCATTTCCATAGATCCGTATTGTTTCTTAAATTATTGCACAGAGATTTGAGAAAAGAGTCTAAGCTGCCATTTACAATGTTAAAAAAAAGGCCGTGTGCTTTTGTGCGAACGTAACACGCATGCCTGTTCGAAGGGGCGTCTGTCACATTACCCGACAGCACCGAGAGATGACCATAACCACCGCGCGCTCAGTGAATCCAAACGTGAGACCAACGGACAGTGTGAGCTCTTTCGTGCGTCGTGTCAAATGAGTGAGTTCTCTCGGTAAGTGTTCTATACTTGAATTTAAATTTCAGAGGATGTTTTCGAATCTTGTATTACGCAGTGACTTGTGACATCATAATAAAGTCAACTGTTTCATGTTGTTGTTACTACTAGTTCGGTATCACTCTACGCATCTCTAAAGTGAAACTTTTTCGCTACGCATTTTTCTAGAGGACATTCTTTTTTTTTAGATATCTAAATGTAAGTAGGTACTTAAACTAGATATTTGAAACAGGTACCTACGTAGGTCTTGAAGCACATGCGCATTTGCTTGTTATTTTGCTTATATTATTTAAGAATTAGTTTAAAATAGGATCTTTTATTTTATCGGAAAATAATAAAATTATGTTTTAAAGACGCCTTGAATGAAATAATGGCGCTGTCGTATAACATTCTTTTAAGAAAAAATATTTAGTTGCTGATTAACTTGAACCATTATCAACGTCTTGAATACTTTTTTCAGTGTTTTAATTCTAAGGTTCAAAATTACTTTTGGTTTGGGGTTCTCTTTAATATCGACATAGGAAAAAAAATAACGGCAAATTTATGGACAAACTAGATGGCATATCGGATAAGCACCTTTGTAACTTATTTTTAATTACATATTATGTAAATAATTTACTATTTATTTCACAACCTGAGTCGGAATCTGGATATATAAATGAATTCATATTATTAATTCACAGCGTACGAAATTGCGTACAATTAAACTAGGTACTATTCACACACATTCTGATTATTTCAGATAATAAATGTGTCAGATCAGTCTTACAGAACGAAACTGACAAGGCTGTGAATTCATAAATATGAAAATTTTGATTGTAAATTCAAAACGCATATTTTTTCATAAATTATCGACAAGCACACACACACTGAATCAAATTATGAATTTATCAGTTGAAATAATCGCTCTAATGCGTGATAGACACTTTAAGCGTCATTCTCCCTTGGGCACATTATTATCGGTCGATAACATCGGATGCGTTATTGCGATATCTGTTTTTGTACATTATGTATGAGAACGGCTACTAAGTCACACACTGCTGCGATAATAACGACGCAATAGAAGAAGGGGCGCATTATCGCAATAACGCATCCGCTATTATCGACCGATAAAAACGCGCCTATGGGGTTGAGGCCGAAAATTGTACAAAACCTCATGACGTGAAAGTTAAGGTTCCTGCCATGAACATAGAGAAATTCACACTTTACTTGATTTGACAACTTTCAAAATAGTTATGGTTCGATTACACTTAGACTTTAGCCAGATTACAGGTGCCAATGGAATTCGGATAATGTAAAATGAACGGAGTCAAGCACGCCCGTATTCGGATAGTGACCGTTTCGGTTACCCGACACCGTCTTACAGCCTGTATTTCAGTGTAAATATTGATTCGGGTTCCCAAATTTGAGTAATGTTTCGTGCAACCGAATACGAGCTGACAACCAAGTATAATTTATTTATGTATAATAATAATCATAATCACCAGCCTATTAATGTCCCCACTGCTGGGGCATAGGCCTTCCTTATGGATGGAATAGTGAGATTGGGCCATGACCCACCACGCAGGCCCAGTGCGGATTGGTGGGTGCTAACGACTGCAGATGCAGCCGGGATCAACAGCTTAATGTGCCTTCTGAAGCACGGAGGAGCTTGAGATAGTAAACTTTTGGTCACCCATCCAATGACCGACCACTGCGAAAGTTGCTTAACTTTAACGATCGCAGCCGAACGCAATAACAACTTGTACCATCGAGCTCCTCGAAAGTAATATTTATTTATTTTAATTACACTTGGTACGTATTTGGGCATTATTTTAGCGACAAATAGTGGTCTCTCGAAGTTAAATCTATCTGTATAGCAAAATTCACTGAAATGGGTTTAATGACTGAGAGATGAAGCAATTTATATAAGGGATTGATCATCATCAGCCTTTTCATGTTGCCGCTGCTGGGACACGAGCGTTCCCTATCCATAGAATAGGAAGAAGGTCCATGACAAAGACCCATCACGTGGGCCCAGTGCAGATTGGTGGGTGCTAATAATGGGCCATCCACACCGTTCATTCCTGTTGGCATCTAGAAATCGAATGGTAGTCAATTGCTTGCTCGCTCTCACACATCGACTACCATTCAATCCGCACGGATTATAGATGCCGGCAGGAATGAGCGTTAGTGGATGACCAGCTAGTTAATAACTGCAGATGCAGCTGTGACTTTTAAGCACAGAGGTGCTCAACATAGTAAATTTGGTCCCCAGTTCCATAATATCCCTACTGACATATCTCCACTAGTATCCCTACTGACATATCTCCACATACTTGGATTTTTTTTCAATTATCGCTACCAGTCGGGATATATGGAACTTTCTATTCCATAAACGTGGCACACTCAGAAAGTTTTGAGAAACTAAAACACTAATTTCCATGAAAAAAATATTTTTATTAAATCTTTTCAAAGAACTCTCCACCAGCCTCTATAAAAAGTTTCATGAGTCTGAACCATTTTCAAATCATTTTTTCCAGTCCTCCGTAGACATCTCTTCCAAGGCCTTCTCAAACGCTGCTAGCGCTTCTTCCGGCGATAAAAACTGTATCCCTTTGAGCTGTTTTTTTTATTTATGGGGAAAAAAGAAGTCACACGGAGCCAAACCCGGACTGTAAGGAGGGTGTCCTAAGACTCTGACTGGTGTGGAGTCCAGCAAGTCCTTTGTTTTGATCACAGAGTGCGCGGGCGCGTTGTCGTGGTGAAAAAGGAGCCCGGTGTTAGGTCGCTTGTTGCTCATTGCAGAAAAGAAAAAACTTCTGGCAGGCATTTTGTGCTATATTATTTGGCGTTGATGCTGCTTTGGTCTCGAAGTAGAATTGAAATTAAGTACCCAGTAAAAGTGAAGAAACTAGCGATCAAAATTTTCCCTGCGCTCCTCGATCGCTTCTCTTTCGTAGGCGTTGGTTCATTTTGAAACAGCCAAACTGTCGACTGACGCTTTGTTTCTGGATCGTATTGATAAAACCAGGATTCGTCACCTGTCACAATATCGTAAATGCGCTGTGACGAGCCTACATCAAATTTTTGTTTTATATCACTGCACCAATCCACACGGGCCTGCTTCTGAGCTTCGGTGAGGTTGTGCGGCACCCAGCGGGAAACTATCCTCCTTACGCAAAGGTGCTCGTGCAAAATCTTGTGAACACTTCCTGAACCAATCTGCAGAGTATGCTGAATCTCTTCGTATGTAATTCGTCTGTTTTCTTGAATTAAATTTTATACTGCCAGCACACTTTCTTCGGTGACAGTCGTCGTAAGACGACCACTCCTTTGTTCATCCCCCAAAGTAAGACGACCGCGTTTTAACTCGCTACACCAGCAGTAGATGGTCGCTTTTGAAGGTCCTTCATCCATAAAAGCAGTTCGAAATCGATCAAATGACTCATCAGGCTTTAAGCCAAAATCGTTAAAATCGTAAAAAATCATAGCACGAAAATGTTCTCGATCCAGATCCATTTTTAATGAGAGAAAACTAAAGTTGCTCTCCAAAAACTGCGGAGGGAAATTTGCAAATCGAACAGTGGTATCTTAAACTTTAAATAATCGAAGTTTTCAAAATAATTATAAGTGGCCATGTCTTATGCTTAAAACTTTTTTTCGCAAAACATTCTGAGTGAGTTGGTATTCCTACTGATCCGCACTGGTAGGGATAATTTGATTTGTCTTTCTCATTTATCGCCACTAGTGGGGATAAGTTTTCAGGCAGTGAATTGGGATGGGTTTGTGAAAGTCAAAGCAACCAAGCTACAGCACAATCAATTTTCTTTGTGGGATCAATTGTAGGCGGAGTTATAATCGGATGCGTCGCTGACCGTTACGGAAGACTCTTTGCTGCTACTTGGAGCAACATCATCGGTTGTTTAGCCGGTGGTGGAAGTATATATGCCCGTAGTTTTACATAGTTTGCTGTCTGTCGTTTCTCCGTTGGATTAGCATACGACAACTCTATGATGGTAACTTACCTCTTTATATTGGAAACTGTATAACTCAATTATCTATTAGTTTTTTCATTATTTTTGAAATGCCATGCTTCTGCAAAATTATTTGTCCTGTGTAAAATAAATATAAGAAATAAACAATATTATATTATAAATTAATTTCAAAATATTAATATAAAAATACATATATAATAGGTATTATAAATACAAATTAATTATTTTCTGCATCAATAAAATACAAAAAAATACTTCACACTTATAGATAATAAGATTCATTATCACAAGTAATCCAGGAACACCTAGTTATTCATATTAAGAAATCCTTGCAAACTTATCCCCACTGGTACCGATTAATGAAAAAGAAAAATCTCTACCAGTGCGGATAAGTAGGGATATATGGAATAGAATGTTCCATTTATCCTAGCATGTAGTGATAATTGGAATAAAAAGTTTCAAGCACCTATACCTGCTAGTGGAGATATTATGTCAGTAAGGATATATGGAACAGGGGAATTCGGTGACCCATCTTAAAACCGGCCATTGTGAAAGGTGCTTACCTTCTACGATCTGTTTCACAGATAATCGCAGATAGGTTTTATAAAAACTTTAATTATCCCGACTTTTATTTCTTAAAACAGAAATATAGAATCCCCATAAGGATAGAAATTAATTGAGCTGTGCGCAACCGCACAGAATGGAGGATGGGCACGGGCTGCCGAAATACTAACTAAATGAGCTAGGGCTAGAATTTCAAGGTGCTGACTAGATATAATAGTCAGCTGGGGCAGCAATAAGCGTTACATATCCCAGATATAACAAACCGCAGACCGAACTTATAAATCACTTGTAGAATCGAAACACTCAATCGCTTCTTCTTACTACAGGCGTTTCTGCAACTCTTAGTCCATATCATAGCCGGTCTTTTTTGTGTGACGAGGGTGTGTTGCCAGAGTCACTAGGGTCTTCATATTGGTGATTACCTCTTTGAGGTTTCCTGAGGTTGAGTAAGCCGAT